TCTCTCACTCTCTCTCTCTCTCTCTCTCTCTCTCTCTCTCTCTTTCTCTCTCTCTCTCTCTTTCTCTTTTTCGCTTCCTCTCTCTCTCTCTTATCTCTCTTTTTCTCCGCTTCTCTCTCTCTCACTCTCTCTCTCTCTCTCTCTTTCTCTCTCTCTCTCTTTCTCTTTTTCGCGCGCTCTCTCTCTCTTCGTGTTAAGCTCCCTACACACATACCCTATATACTGAACAATGCATTCGTCTCTGTAGTTCGTGTTTCCAGGTAACAAGTGCGCTACACAATAGTTGCAACGCCACACTTTCGCGGTATTAGGCCCGTAGCTGTCGTTTACGGATCTTCTTAATCGTTGCAATAAAAGTCGGGCGATGTCTATGCTGAATTTAGGGCAATGACCCAAGAGAAGGGGGTGGGCGTACACAGCGCCCCCTTTGAACTATAGTGGTGAATAATGTGATTCGAGTCGTTTATACCACCGCAACATCCTCTTGCCTAGCACGGGGATTAGTGATATGCTATAAGGAATGTGTTATACTAAAACACCCACGTACCTAGCTATTATCTATTCGATATCCTGTCACGCCTGACATGGATTGTAGGTGCAGAGTTCATACAGCGAGATATTATTAGATATGAATTATTAGCTTTAGGCGCCGGTAGATCGTATGATCAATCACCTTGTCACATTAATAGCATATAATTTTTATGATAAATAGTGATTCGCGATTTTGTGACTATTAACCGTAATATGTCTGACCAGTCAACGCAACAGTGTGTACAATAAATACCTTGCAACGCGAGGGAGGCAAATAATCTGTCATTATAGGCCTGTTAGTGTTAGCACACATTATGTCCCAGACTGTCTAGGCGACGTAGAATTTATCGTGAACATACTTGAAAAGAGGCCAACTGCACGTCAACTGCACGGGCCATTATCTTTGCGCATTTCATTAAACAAATTGCTAATAAATTGGATGCGAAATAGGTGCGAACATGGGAAATTTAAGCAGTTACGCACATTATAGCCATTAGCTTAATAGCTATTTGCCATATCGCGTTAATTTTGTTTTAGCTCTACACAAATTTTAGGTGGACGTTTCTTCAAGCTGAAAAAGACCAAATTAATTCCGAAATATTGCCGTAAAAGTCTATCGCCCCGACATATTGCAAACGAGTTTCGCTTATCGTACGTAAACGTGCATGGTTATGATGACATTTAATAACTATCGTAACCTAAATTTTAATTAGTTTTTATAATTGAATAATTAAATTTTAGCATGAATATAGTGTCTCTTTTTAGAGTTTAAACTCTTGCAAAAAAAACTAGCGTGACACGTGTGACGAAGGTGTATGCGTTTGAGAACAATCTGAAATTAAGATGTGCTGTATACTTTACGTAAAAGCTACATGTGGCATTATTTCGCTCTACCAATAAATTACTGCCATATAGGCGGTGTTGAGAAGGCGACTTCTGTAATAATTATTTTACAAACGCCTACGTGCTGGTGAAATAACGCCTACGCCAGTAAAAGACCAATGGAGCATACCCTCTGAGCACCTGAATTACAATTGGAGCGCACCCTAGCGTAGCCTGTAACCGCTTATCAATTTTCGAGGCGGGCCAAACGATCGTCTGGGTCTTAAGGTCACGAGTAGTACAAACGTAGGTTAAAGAATTTACTCTCGCTCGCCTCTCTCTTTCTCTCTCTCTCTCTCTCTCTCTCTCTCTCTCTCTCTTTCTC